AAAAACAATGACAAAAATAAAACAACCAAAAAAAAACCCCAACACAAATACCCACAAAACTGAATTGCCACTTGGACAAAGGAAAATTTAACTTTACTGACCTGTCAATGCCACAGTATTGCCAGTTAGAAACTGCTGAATGGAAGCTGATGGGGCTTCTCCTCTAGATTTGTTGCAAGGCATAAAAAGCAACACAGAATACTAATAGCAGAATTTCAGGTATATGTTTGTATTTAACAGAGACTGTTAACAGTTCTTTCATAAAGCTTTGACAACCACTACATTCTATTAATCAATGCTAAACAAGAGATTAATTCTTCAGGTTCATTTTATTAGCAATAATGAATATAAATCTCTTATGAAAATATTCTTAACATTTCAATAGATAAGAATTGTCTATAAAAATATACTACTACATAACAAAGCCAGTAACTTCTACAAAACATATGATTCAACACATTTAACAATATATAGGACATGGTAAAAATCCTTTCATTCTGAAGGCATTTTAACCCCCTTTTTCTCCAACAATAAGTCATATAACATAGTAAATTACTCATTCTTATATACAGAAAAGTTATCACCATAGAAGTCTATGTATGTTCCACCCTGAAGTTACCTGCATCTGCAGGAACATAAAGCCACAACTCTTCTTTGGATGGACAGGCAGACCATCCTTTTTGACCACAAAAGCATTCTGCTGGTAACTGCAACATCTGCTGAAGTCAGTGTTGCACATCTGCTGTCAGCACTGCCAACACTGAAACCATGCAGGGACAGAGATCACACTTCTACCGCCTTTGTGGAACAGATGCCACAGATGAGCCTACCATGGTTAGAGACCTGGAAAATGGACTCTCCCTGGATAACTACTGCTAGTTAGCAAGGAAATAACTTCTTAAAAGGCTGCCTCTCTACAAATGAACTTTCTTCCAACAGACAACTCTTGAACAAATCCTCAAGGAAGAGAAAATACTGCATGAGAGAAGGGAAGGGGGAGGAGCAAGGGCAGTACTGTCCATCTTGTCATTATTAATTACAGGAAAAGCCATCTTTAAAGAGGTTTTGGATTTGGGAAAGAGCCTAGTTTAGGTTTCAAAAGTAAAATGACACATTGAAGTAGTTATTTCACCAATGCTGTTATGCTGAGGTTACTTCATGCTTAGTGTTAGACAAACACAGGGCATCCATTTTAATTATGTAGACTGATGTAGTCTACACAACGAGCTTGTCAAATACTTAGTGTCGATGTATTCAGGGAGCTTTTAGAGCATACTCTGACAAACAACATCATCTGTAAGAAACTGGCTGCTGCACAGTGACAGTATGTAGCTTCTCAGCCATCAGCTTTCTATATCACAGTCAGGTATATAAGGCTTTAAGGCTGTAAAGTCCCATTGAAGACAATGGATGATTACAGTGTTTTGCATAGTGAAGAATATAAGAAACACGCTTGTGATGCATCAGTAACAACTACATCTTTTTATCCTGTGTTTTTGTGTAAAACAACCAATAATTATTGCTCTTCCTATTCAGGATCCACAGAAATCAGTAAATTGAATTAATGTTGAAATTCAAGAGAAACTTAACTTTTTATCATAGCAATTGCAATGCAACAGTATTCCACCATATTACAAAGGAAGGACTTCCTATTAGAAAAGTACATTTAACAAGCTTAAAAGTAATGTAAAGATCACAACAAGACACTACAGGTGATGAATGTTAATAATGTATTTCTGACTCAAAGCTCAGAAAAATAACATTTGACTCTGAGAAGCTTGCTGTATTAAAACAAAAAGCAAAAATAATATTTCAAAAGTAAAAATCAATCCAAGAAAAGGAAAAAAAAAAAAGAAAAAATCTGAAAAGATCAAGGCTCAGCCAGTTTCAATTCAGATTTTTAAACTGTTAAGCTCTGGAAGAGAAAAAAAAAAAGCTTTTACCATCTTAACAGGAATTGTAAGAAATATTTTCAAATTTAAAAAAAAAAAAAAAAACAAAACACAACGTTTTAGGGTTCACATACTTTTGTATAACTTTGTTCTCTTCGAGGCTTCCAGATAAAATTTTGGTTTTCAACCTACATTTGAGAAAAACAAAAATTTAAAAACTGAGGTGACTGAAAAAACTTAAAGCTTAAATGTCTTCCATTCCCAAATTATCAAAAAAACTAGTTACAGAAGCTAGCTTTATGGCTAGAGAAGCCCTTGGCAAGTCCTTCATTCTCACACCAGTTAAAAAGTATCCAAAAGATGGATCAAAACCAAAACAACATTCCAAAAAATACTGTGTCCTCCAACATAGGATCTTGTTTAGGTCATTATTTTAACAACTTAAGTATTTAGGAAGGTTTAGGAACAGCAAAAGGAAATAAGTAGATGGAATCATAAGGAAACCCTGTAAGTTTAGAAGGAAAAAAAAAATCATCTGGGGTTTTCGGCACTGCAGATAAAGAAATATATCAAAAGAGCTTCTGCAAGAAGTTGAGAGAAAAATTACCAATCACTGTATCAGGTTGTTTTCAGGTCAGCTTCTTTTCTACACTTGTGTTAAGGGCAAGAAAACAGTCCTTTCTTCAGTAGGCTGTTGTTGTCTACTAAGTGTAAACAAGATTCATTGAAATCATATGACCTAAAGATGTTTTGAGATAGGCTTCCACATTATTTTCATTCTGTACTGACAAAGCAGCATTCGTACACTTTTTATCTAAGCTGTTATCTAACTCCCCTTCCTAATGTTTTCACACTGTCATCAAGTTTGTGTTACTCTGGTTTTGCCCTCAAGAACGTTACTTAAAATTCACATAGCTGGACTAGCTCACCACATAAGCACGAGCACTGAGCCACTGAGCCAACAGCAGGGAAGGGCACTAGCTGACAACCCAAGTTTACATCAATTGGGAACTGCTTTGGAACCACACCTTTATAAGAGTCAATTTAAACATATGCATGTTAAACAAGAAGTAAAGCAGTGAAAAATGCAGTCTATTTTCCTTCCCTCCCCTGAAAACTGTTGTTAGATGGCAGTGATGGGTGAGCAGCAGAAGAAACAATCCCAGTTTAACATTTCAAGTATTTAATGAAATGGGTGCCAAACTGGAATTTTATTATGACATCAGGTTTTAAAGAGATGTGCAAGCAGTTTCATACTACTCCTGACCTTGTCAGCAATAGCTGAACTTCAGCCTCCAGGAGAAGCAGAGAATAGACAGCTATAAGCAGGAACTGATTCCATAACTCAGGTGGAACCTGCTCACATCCATAAACATCTATGTATGTGTTGGTTTACATACAGAATCTTGCACAAAGGTGGCTCCTCACATCCAGACGCATCCCAAAGTACCACATGCACTGCAGTCATTTGGGACTGAATTCCCTAGATCTGCTTTTACGTGACTGCTCATCTGTAAATCAAAAGAAGAAAACACCTGCCACCTTTAGTGATTTTGAAAAAAAAAAAACATGTATCAAGTCCACAGAACACAACATTCTCCTTTGCAAAAAGCACTAGAGTAAATAACCAAAAAACACCTCATGATACAAAGGACCAAATAAAGATCCAAGTTAAAATGTTCTTTAAGCACGACTAAGACATGACATCCAAAAGTACATAGCATTTCATTTGGGAAAATCCCCCTACCTGATATTAAACATATATTCCTCTTCACACATGAAGGACATTAACATCTATAAAACAAGTCTTTCTTTCTTAGTATTTGTTGCTACCAAAATAAAGCCTATGAAAATGAAAAGATGCGTAGGAGAAGTGACTAAGTGCAGATTTAAAAGGGCTAGCTGGAGAAATGGGGCTGAAGCTGCCCACTAGCACTGCCTGATGTAGTGCAGGTGCCTCCATGTCATCAGATGTGCACGCACAACTCCACCCTCTCTCCAAGTTCTCCTCAAACCTGTTCTGTAGAATCTCTGCTATGACCTTGGCCAAACTGCATTTTCTGTGAAACTGCGATTACTCTGCACTCTTGTAAATTCTGAGGAAGTAGGCAAATGCTTTATTGTAAATCCTAACTTTATGAAGGCCAAGAAGACTTGAAACTTGGTTTCAAAAAGAAGTTTTGCACAAAAGAATCTAAATAAAAGGGTCATCAGCAGCATTTAAAATAACCTGTATTAAATACCTAAAAAATATAGTATTTTGCATAGAACAAAGAAAAGTGCAGCTACAGCATAACATTCTATACCACAAGAAACAGCTAATTTTTGAGTGGTATACAATTAATTGTTGTCTCTCATCACTGAGACCGCAGAAAATAAAGACCTGTTTATTGGGAAAATCTCATTTAAAAAAAAGGGGATTAGGTTGTTTTATTATGCCTGTAAAGCAAGTGCAAACATTTAAAAATCATTTCAAAGAAGAATTTTAAAAGAAAACAAAGCTGATAATTTTCTGAAGTTAATTTTCTCTTGATATTACTTTGAAAGATGAAATAGCCTTTGTTCTTTTAGAATGCAAATTAAAAATAAAGGCCCATTTGACAACTTTTGTGAAAAAAAATCAGAAAGCTTGTAAGTGTGCAAGCTTTCTCTGTATTGTGAAGTTGGACTTTTATAGGATTATAACTTTTTATTCCTTTCTAGCTTTTGTACTGCAATCCCTCTGGTAATCAAGTACAGAACAGTATTAAATAAGCCTGAGAGAAGAATAGATAAGGGGTGTAAAAACTGGAGAATCAGGATTTTTATGAAACTAAAATAAAAAAAAAAAAAAAATCTTTGTCCACTTCTAATAGGAAGCAAGCAACTTTTAAAAATCTTTCTGCTTCTCATATTTGCACACCTAAACACAAGAAAAGCAGATGCCTAATCAGTTGTCAGAACATCTTGAATTTTGGTGTTTTTCTCTTTTTTAATCAACTTATTTTATTGGATATAACTTGGTACTACAATTTGGTAAATGAGATATTTTAAATAAATAAAAATAAATATTGTGTGTATATATATTTAACAACTGCTTGTTTCTGTAAGGAATTAGTGTCAGCCTTGTCAGATTTCGTTTTGTTTGGCTTTTTTCAAGCTCTGTCGCCACTTTCGAAAGGCAGTTCCAGAACTACTAGCTACTACACAAAGGGCACCACCCACAGTCCACCAAGTTGGTAGATGATTGAGAAAAATAATTTGTAAAATAAAGGCAAACACCACATCCATTGTTTTCATTATGGCTACAGGTCCAGCTTTCTCTATCTGTAATGCTTTTGTGAGAAATATCTGACCTCCCAGCCCTAACAAGCCTATTAATATGAGAAGAACTCGATCTTTACCACAATATGGCAATCGCCACTCGTTCATAACAAACAATGCTATAACACAACCAATTAAACCAATGACTGCATAATACCAAATTGACAAAAAGTAATGTACAGATTTTCCCACCTTCCTTATAATAACAAAAGTTGAAGCTCCAGATACTGTGCTTGCAATTGCTGCTATAGTTCCTTTAAGGTGGTCTGTGTAACTTCCTTCGATCCCCGTAACGTTTGACCCAAACAGAAATGGTGGTCTGGCAATAAGAACCACTCCAGTGATTGCGAAGAGGGTAAACAGAAGATCCCAAACACTGTATTTCTCTTTAAGAAAGATCCATGCCAGCAATGATGTAAAAACAGGACTGCTAAAAGTTATAACAGTGGCATCAGCTAGTGGCATGACTTGGAAAGCATAGTAGAGGAGAATCATTGCACTAGAGCCAAGGAATCCTCGGAAGAAAAGAAAAATTCTTTTACCTTTTGGTCCCAAAAACCCTGTTCTGAAAAACAGAAATGTTGCATTAATGTCACTAGCTTGCTTATTTCATGACCAACATCCAATCACATTTAAATGTACACATCTTTCTAGATGAGGGACTTACCTCAAATATCAAAATACTTTTAACTGTCTGATCATAGACCAACTTATTCCCATTACCATCCCCCAATCACATTCAGAGTCAAGAACTTGTTACACTAGCTATTTATTTTTTTGGTTCCAAAATAATCCAAGAATAGCTACAAATTACCTTCCAGTTCTTAAGAGCATCACTTTATGGAAGATCCATACCTGTGCAGAAACCTCTACAAATCAAAGAGTATCTGTTTTCTCAATTGCATTAAGAAGTTATCAACTAATCCAAAATAAGTTATGCAACTGAAGTCTGAATTAAAACAATATTGCAGTTTGATTTAAGAGGGTGATAATTCTAAATATAGTCTTATGAAATAACTTTAAATATTTGCTACACTTACTTGTAGTATATTAAACCAGGAAGAATGAATGCCATTTGGAAAACACATCGAAATGCACTCACTTCCACTGAATGTACATCTTCTATTTTTTTAAGAAATAAAGAGGCCACTGAGAAAAGGAAGGCAGACAGTACGGTATAAAATAGACCAAGTCCTGGACATGCAGCTTTCTTCTTTGTTCCTGCAACAGATAAACTCCAGTTAATAACAACCTATTACAAGATTTCTCAGGCCAGGCTGCTCTACATACTGCTGTGCTCTGCACATTTGTTGCTGTTCTTGTGGTCGAGGCCAGGGAAAGCAAAAGAAACAAATGCAAGCACATGTATTTATCAGATCTACCTTGAAGACATGTTCCACTGACCACCACAGGTGTAGGTTTTTTTTCCTTACAAGAAGAAACAGGAGATGAACTCATTTCTCACAGTCCTACACGAGTTAGTAGGCTTTCCTTCTTCGAGGCATCAGACTAGTTTGGGTGATTCACTACAGGACTAGTCATATGATTCTGACCACTGCCTAAGGACCAATAAATAAAACTGACTGCAGAATGGTCCATGGTCAGATTCTGAAACACTGAAACTTACCATGGCAATCATTTGATTATTGAACAAGTTAATTAAGGTTTATAAGCAACAATTTAATTTCGTTTCTCACAAATACATACCTCCTCTTTATTTTGCAGTTATATCACCCTAAATTTGACCTCTTCATGTAAGAGTCCAAAAACGTTCTTCAAATAAACATCAAATACACATTTTTAAGCAGAAGAAATTTAAGTGACTGATGTTAAAAATACCATAGGTCTGTTTAAACCTAGTTTCACCTTCGTTTATGTTTATTTATCAGACTTTCTCTTCCTGAAGTAGTTTCCTAAGTCTAATGGCTTCTATTCAAGCTTCCTCATTGCCTCAGGCTCTATTCTGCAACTCTTCCTCATTCTACTCATCTTCTCCACAGGCAGCTATTAGAAAGAACAAAACCAGGCAAGCAGAGAAGGTGAACTACTGCTAAGCTCAACACCATCTCCAAAGAAACCAACCTTCTTTCTTATTGCTTTGCTGCAGAAGAGGAGCAGCCTTTCCCCCAAACCTAGTGGTGAACAGCATGGAAAAGAGAACCCATCTGAAAATTTGTGTGGGATGTTACCTCACTACCTGTTTTCTTTCTGTCTGCATAAAACATTGGGAGTTATCTTTTCTTCTACAACACTCTCTAAAGATAAGAGCAAGAACTCCATGTCCCTGAGGTAGTGTTTTGATAGAAGGGTGCCTCATCTCACATTAGTGTGGGAGCCCATGAGCCTTACATATCCTCTAAAACTTAATCAGCAGGGCACTGCTGTGTATTGCTTAGCAACTAAATATGCTTTTGAGGGTTTTTTTTTGCTTTGGGTATGTGGGGTTTTCAAATTAACAAAACTTATCATAAACCATTATGATCCTCCTTCAGATGAGCACCCAACGCTGACAGCCTACATCTTACTACTGAAGAGCTACGACCATGGGCTGATACAGTGTATACAGCATTGGTTCTGACTAACACTTGTAGAGACCCAGGCTTTACAACTGCAACCAGAATTTGAAGTAGGCAGCAGGCCTGCTTCTCACAATCCAGCCACACTACAGCTGAAAATGAATTATTTTCTACTAGAAATATTTCTATTTAGCAACAGCCACTTACATAAAAGTGACTGTAAAAACTACTACCAACCAACACTGGATCAGGACATCTACCAACTATGAAACAGAGTGGATTTTTAAAATGTTCATGAATTACATAATGTCCTAATCCACCGTCACATAACAGAACTACAAAGTCAACAATGTCTTTAATATTAAAGCAAAAGGAATCAGACTTGCCTATAACTGAAATGGGAAATCCAAACCCAGGCTGGCTTATGGATGAACACAGCACAAACAAAACTATTAACTTTGATTTCAGGCATGATAGCTTCCCCGATTACTACAGAACGAAGCCAATCTAAATAATGGAAGTGCTGAAATGGAAAACCAACCAAATTAAAGCAAAGTAAGCCAAAAGAATCTTATACCAATAACTAAGCTTTGTATTTGAAGGAACAAAGGAAAGCCAGAAGGAACTCATTTTTGCAAGTTACCCAATATACTAAGCCTATCAGAAACAGTATATTGTAATACTGGAATTTAAACCATCAACATCTCATACTGCCAAAGCACATACTCAGGCCAATGAAAAAGTGTTTCACTTCCTTTTAAAAATAAAATGGTACAAGTTCATCCACCAAAAACAAGAATTGCAATTCTGGAAAGTATATATTGCAAAGTATGTTGTAAGGAGAAGTTAAGATAACATTCCCACCCCACAGAATATGAAGCCTCTGAATGCTAGCCTAACACCATCAAAACACTCAAGCACTCATGGTTTTTTAAAAAATCTCCACACGTAAGGCTTTCAAACAACCTTCCACTCCTGTTTTAAGTTCTAGTCAAATGCCTCCCACTGTACACCATTTTCTGTGTATATTTTTTGTTTGCATTTTACTTTCTTGCAAATTTTTTATACTTGCATAGCGAAGAAAAATACGCTTCTCAGATACATGCACCTTGGGAATAGTAGCAGGGGCAGAAGAGTACTGGCTATGGAGAAGGTGGCCAGTGCAAAGATGATTCTTCTGTCAGACCTTCAGGAAACCCTGAAGAGGGTGATCTGTTCTTCACAACATAAGAAGCAGAACAGCAGCTCTTTCACAGACTTCGGGAAAGTGCCAAGAGCACAACAGCCTCATATGAACTAGTCATGGTCATGCAGACAAGATCTAAGCATGATTCATAAAGTTCAGCCACTGACTCAACATTTTTTCTGAACAGAATACAAGAAAAAAAAAAGGGGGTGGGTGGGATGGGACAGGAGGGGTGTTTGGTGAACAAATGCAAGTTTCTTTGGTTTTCAGATATTACTTTCTTTGCCAACCTTTGCGGCAGGAGTGATACTAACGTGAATTTCACTAGTGAAGTGCATTTCTCCTACGGCCTCTCCACAGCTCACTATCTAATAAGAACAGCCTTTTTATCTGTTTTCTGCTGCAAAGTAAATTACAGCCCATATCTAACAAAAAAACCCCACATTTTTGGTGAAGTTGTTTAAAAATTACAGCTGCTAAAGTACTTCAGACAGTGTCATTTACTTTTCAAAAAGAGGCCACATTAAACTTACAAAAACGTACTGTGTGTTTTGCAGTAAGTTTATACTTTAACAATTCAAAATGACGAAGGACTGAAGCACGGATTAAGATAAAACAGAGCTCACTCACACTAACTCTCGGTAAGAACTACCAGGAAGTCACAGCTGCAAGTATATGGACTTGTTGAACAGCACCCATGCCCCTTCTCAACATGTTTACAGTGCCAGGAGCTCGCACTGCTGGAAGGCAGCTCCATTTACACAAACCTGTCCGCTGTTACTTTAGAACTTTGACAACAGGAAGCACTGTTCTCCCGAGAGATAGCCGCTACCGAAGTTCTCGCAAAACCGCCGAGCAGCGGCCTGCCCTTGGGGATGGCGGCGAGCGGTGCGCGGCCGGAGCTGCCCCGAGCGCTGTGCCCGCTCCG